CGCTAATCCCCAAACAAAGATATACAGAAATATATTAAAATGAAGAGTTTAGGGTGTATGTACAGCCGCAAGAGTTTTAAGAAAACCGAAACTCTTCTTTTTTTCTCTATAAAAAGCATTTTCAATATTTATTTTTTTTTTCTTTTTCTGGGTGATGGATGCTGGTGGAGATACACTCCATTTAATCCTATCTGTATGAATACAGTTTCTCTTTCTTCTTTTTATTTTATTTGTTTTTGCCGTTGGTTTTTTTAATTGCTAGATATAAAGATACAAATTACACACAACCAAATGCCTTAGAACCAAACACTTTGCTCATAAAAAAAAAATATATATAAACTAAACATTCTCCCGTAATATGCAGCAACTGTGTATACACGATACTACTGGGTTCAAACCCTAAACCCTAAACCCTAGACCCCTCCCAAAGCAACAAACCAGTTCTATGAGCCCTGTATTCAGTGAGTATCTGCAGCATGTTGCTTGCTGCTGTATACTTACCATATAACAAAAGATATAGAGAATGAGATGCACGCTGGGCTGTCTGTACATCAACAGGGTAGAGGGTACCGATGTGCTGCAGACTAAACTACCACAGCAGCAGCAGCAGCAAATCCAGCAGCAGCAGCAACAACAACAGCATCAGGAGCAACGGCGGAAGCGGCACCAGCAGCAGCAGGAAAGATGAAAGCGGTAGCGCCAACAACAACAACAGCAGCAGCAGCCGCAGCAGCAACAGCAGCAGCAGCAGCAGCAGCGATGTGAATATAAACATTTTGTATTTAGGTTCTTTCGGTTGCTGCGGGGGGCTGCAACCCGCAGACCCAACAAAGTGAGGCGGAGGTAACCGCTGGGCGTTTCGTTAGATAGCAGCTTGCAGCACAGATGCAAGCAACTAGAAATAGGAGTAATGATGAGTTAATTTCAAAAGAATAATCATTATAAATTTAAATAAAACAATAAAATTATGAATTTAATCAAAAATAAATTTAGACAGGACCACTTAGGTGTCGGTGCTGCTACCGGACCAGTGGTGGTGGAGGGGGCAGCAGCGCTGGTGCAGCTGCGGTTTGCATGTGTTTGTAAGTGAATAGAACAAAAGAAACAAAAACAACGAAATAAAGAGATTAAAACTAATTATAGATTGGGATAAATAGAAGTAATTTAACGATGAAAT